AACTTAAAGTTCAAATCGGAACTCACCACACTGACGCGTTAGTGGACGGCGGAGCAGAAATCACCCTTATACGACGGGATTTCGCAACGGTCACGAGGTGCACGGTAAACAAGGAAGTAGCAGGGAGTATCCGGGGAGCAGGTGGCGAAATTCCTTTCACAGGGTATGTCACCAAATGTGCAGTCAGGGCGGGAATCCGGGAATCCATCTGGTCCTTTCAGCGGATGACCGTGATGGAAGAAATGGATCACGATGTAATCCTCGGGAGACCATGGTGCGCCAATGTGGAAATGATAGGAATGCATCTGCACGACGGCACATACATGGTAGACATTGAGGATCCGGTGACTGGTCGCGGAGAACTCCTCCGACTCCTCGGAACTAGAGGGGACCCTCTGAAGGGCAAATTGGCAACCTGGTCGCCAACATTCGAAGAAAGTGCACGGAAGGGGGCATTCGCATGAATGGAAGGAATGAGGGAAAGGGTAGAAATTATGATTGAGGAGGATTTTAGTAAAAAGGAGTGGATCAAGATGGGCTTGCCTGAAAAGAAGAGAAGGCCAGAGGACGAGTCCCTGGAAGTTATGGTGGCAGAAAAAGAGTCGGAAGTCGAATTTGGGGCTAGCCTGCCCAAACCAAAGGAAGCCCGGAACGAAACGTCGGAGGTAGTGCTTAAAATCCCAGACTTATTACAACTCGTTAAGGCCATCAGGTACCACAAAGTAGGGGTGGACCTCGCAACGCTTGCCAAATTTGAGGATGGGGTTCGAAAGGGCTACTGTCTGAATGGGAAGCTAGTCAGCATCCAGCCCCGCGTCTTGGAGGTAGCAAGGCCAATCCCGACCGTTCAATTTTTAGGAGAATGATCCCCGAAGGTAGTGTGCGAAAGTATAAACCCGTAGGCAAGAAGGCCAAGCCGGTCTCGATCCTAGTGGAAACGTCAAAGGAAGAGGCCATGGAGAAGGAGGAGGAAATCTTGCGGGCAAAAAGAGAGGCACGAGCAACGGAAGGGCAGCGCATACCAGATGAGGTAGAAGACACCATGAAAATAGGAGTGGAAGGGTTTCTAACAACGGAAGAAACTCAATTGATAAGAAAGGCATGCCAGGAGTTTCATTTAACTTTCGCTTTCAACGATCGTCAGAAAGGACGATTGGACGCAAAGCTAGTTCCCCCTGTCAGGATCCACACCGTACAGCACGAGTGTTGGAATGATAAAGGGTCCGCCTATGAGTTTGGGATAGCAGCGAAGGTCAACGACCTACTTAGAGCCAAAATAGATTCTTTCGTCGCTAAACCCACCGCATCTCCCTACGCGAACAAGTGGTTCGTGTTCAGGAAGCCCAATAAGACACTCAGGTGGATCCAGGACCTGCAGAAGCTCAATGCGGTAACAATTAGGGACGCAGGCTCGCTTCCACAGACCGACTTATTGGCAGAATCCCATGCAAGGCGGAGCATTTACTCCCTGGTAGACTTGTACTCAGGATATGATCAGTTGCCGCTCGATGCGAGGGATAGACCGTATATCGCAATGCACACGTTGGTAGGACAGTTGCAGATGCAAGTGACCCCTATGGGCTTCACAAATGCGGTAGCAGAAACTCAGAGGAGGATGCTCGCCGTTGCAGGGGATATGTTTCCGGAAAAGTGTGAACCTTACATAGATGATAATCCCGTGAAAGGCGCAAGATACAAAGATGAGACGGAAGTGCAACCGGGAGTGCGAAAGTTCGTCTGGGACCACTTGCAGGATATTAAGGACTTACTCCAGCGATTCCTAGTCTACAACATTACTGCAAGCGGGCCCAAGAGCATCTTGGCCTTCCCGGAAGTAACCATACTGGGATTTCGCTGTGGAGCCTATGGGAGGAAACCCGATCCAGCAAAGACTGATAAGATCTCTCAGTGGCCGACACCCCTGCGTACCACGACGGAAGTACGAGCCTTCCTAAGGGTGGTTGGGTTCTGGAGGATCTTCATCAAAGGTTTCGCAAAGATAGCAGAACCCATCCGCGCGATGATTAGGGAAGGCGGCACTATGGATTGGACTGAGGATAGGGAAGAGGCAGCCCAGACCCTGAAAGACATCCTGTCATCCGATCAGGTCACGTTAGCAGCACCCTGCTTCAATGGAGAGGTAGGACGGCCCTTCATCTTAGAAACAGACGGGGGACCATTGGCAGTGGAGGGAGTATTGATACAGAGAAGCGAGGAGGGCAAAGAAAGACCAATCAAATTTGAAAGTAGGACCCTGAATTCAGCAGAACGACGGTATTCGCAGTTCAAGAAGGAGGTCTTAGCAATCCTGCATTGTCTTAAGACCTTCCAGGCATACCTGTTCGAGAGGCGATTTATCCTAAGAATCGATCCCACCAACGTTGTCGGAGCCCTAAAGAACTACAAGCCCATAGACCCGACTGTTGGCAAATGGATAGGCTTCATATGGCAATTCGACTATAAGATCGAGCGAATTGCAGGGCTTCGAAATAGGGCAGATGGGTTTAGCAGGGTTTGTATCACGCCAGAAGGAGTAGAGGACACAAAACCAATTGACGCCTTCCTGGAGTACGAAGGAGGGACCCTTGTCGTGGATAATGAGATGGCAGATCCGGCAATTACAACAGGTCAGTTGCTGATTTAGACCTTGGAAAAGGGCGTACCTGCAGTGGTTGCAGAACTCAGGGAAGGACTAGTCACCACGGTCAGGCGCAAAGAGGAAAAGGACTCGTGGGGAGCAGAAGTAGGGGCCAGAGAGGAACTGATGGCAATGATCGTGGAGGGGGGACGGGACTCAGTGATGACGTTAGCCGAAGCCTGGGCGCAGAAGGAGTGTAAGTATCTAGTCAACCTCAATCGGGAGGAGCAGGGTACGGATCAGAAGAAACAAGAGTTCTTCCTCATACAGATGTACGAGGGCGTCTTCAAAGAAATCGGTCTGCTACTTGTAGGGAACAAACAACCCATGGAAGTCAGTCCCAAGGCAAGGGAGGAAGTCGAAAAGTATGTTCTACGAAATGACCACCTTTTCAAGAAAGAGGAAGGGATGATACCTAGGCGTGTCGTTTGTGGGAGGTCTAGGCAGTTGGACGTAATTCAGGCAATGCATGACGGGCTAGCTGGAGGTCACCGGTCGTCCAAGGGGACACTTGCAAAGATCGTGCCCCTGTACTTTTGGCCACGGATGGCAGGCATGGTCGCAACGTATTGTCAAACGTGTCTGATATGTCAAGAAAGGAGCGCCGTACAAGTTTACGAGCCCCTTAGACCCACCCGGGTACTGGGACCCGGACACCTTGTTCACCTCGATCTTGCCGTTATGCCCGTATCGACGGATGGGTTTAGATACATCTTGGATGCAAGGGATAATCTTAGTGGCTATGTAGAAGCCGTAGCCCTCAAGAAGAAGACGGGGAAAGTGGTGGCCGACTGGGTGGAAGACTTCTACCTAAGGCACCCTTTCGTGCGCAGGTTTATAGCAGACAATAGGACAAAATTCGTTAACCAGGAAGTGTTGAACAAGCTTAAAACATTGTGTGTACCGATCAAGATCACCGAGCCCCACCATCCTGAGGCAAATGCACCAGTAGAAGGGGTCACCGGACTTTTGAAGAACACAATCGCAAAGTTGGCAGCAGATAATTTGGGAAGTTGGCCACGGTTTCTCAAGCAGGCAGTCTTCGCCGAGAACATGACTCCAAAAAGAACAACGGGATGTATTCCAGCAGAACTCTGGTATGGAAGGGAGATCAATTTTCCGATAGAAGCTTTAGTCCCTACCTTCCACACTTGAGACCGGAAGAGTTAATCACCGCATGTTATCAGCAGGTCGCCAGGAATGAGGAGGCACTCGAGGAAGTAGTCAATCGTGTGACGGACAGCCGAATGAGGGATACAACAAGATGGGACCAGGTTAAGAACATTCGGAAGGAGCCACTCCAGGTGGGGGAAAAGGTGTTAGTTAGGAACTCGGCTCTTGAAAGCACATGGTTCGAGCAACTGGGAAAAAGATTCAAAGGGCCCTACAGGCTCGCTAAGCGGGTGGGACTGAACACGTTTGAACTTGAGGATCTCGATGGTACTAGCATAAGAGGGTCATTTCCTGGACAGAGACTGGTCAGATTTTTTAGCAGGGATCCAGTGGAACAGTGGCTACAAGAGGCTCAGGACAGGGAAACGGGGGAATTGACAGCCTGAAAGGCAGGAAGTTGGCTATAAGTACTGGACCGCCTCCCTGTGGAAGTGATCATGACCACAGGGATTGTTCTTTTGTGTGTCTTGCTTTTGTGGAACGTGGGGAGACTGCCTGGGCTGACTGTGACGGCGCTTGGGAGCACGAGACAGTGTATTATAGTTTTTTGCAATCCAACATTAACAAATTAAAATAAACCCCATAAATAAAACAATAAATAACAAATAACAATTAATACATAACAACTCTTCATACTCAGGATTTATTGATTGCCTTGGTTTTGGCCCACCACGGGCCAGGATTGTCAGACGTCCCGTCAGTCTGACACACCTCATTCTGCCCGCCTCAGGCCAGGACTAGTCAGACCATTTGTCTTGACAGCCCCTTTGACCTGCCTCCAGGTCAGGACCAATCATACCCACTACTCGAGTATGACAGCCCTTTGGCACTCTCGCCAAGACACCCAGACTATAGCGGGTCTGGTCACCCTATGACAGTAGACGTCCCGTCACTCAAACTGTCCCGAACCCGGATTTGACCACTGGGGTCAGGGACCGACTCACCTACCAGTTTTTGGCCAAGGGCGCTGGCTACCCCGCCCAGATTTTTGAACGTGGGACCCGGTCTAACCACAGTTCCAGGCTCTGGCTAACCTCACTGGATTGCATCCTCTGACTGCGGTAGGGTTCCAGTTGACCCCTTTCTGCCTCATAGGCCAGACCACCGGATTCTTAGCCTCGGCTGACTACGGAATTCGACACTCGCGTCGAGGACCTGCTGACCCCACCAGATTGCAACCTATTGCGGTAAGGCTCTGGCTGGCCCCGACAATCAACTCATCCTTAGGTTAAAGAAGAAAACCCCAGGCACAGACAGTCAGACAAGCATATCATAACCCCACAAGCAGACTGCCCACGTCCCATAACAGAACAAACATCTCTCAAGAGACGCCTCGTTAGTCTCAAGAGGCACTAAACAATAACATGTTAGCCAACACTAAGAGTTTGCAAGAGACCTCCCTTCAGTCACAAGCAAAAACTTTGTGCTAGCCCCAGAGAGGTCCCTTCCCTCAACTGGGATTTCTTTTTCCAAGAGACGTCCCGTCAGTCTCAAGGAAATACTGAAACTCTGATCTCAGAGAGGTCCCTTCCCTCACCTGAGTGAAGACAGGCCCTTAACCAAAAAACACGAAGTCCCTCTACTGACCACCCTCAGTCAAGTAAAGCTAAACTTTTTTATGCCTGCCTTCATCTGAATCTCTTCTATGGACAACTTAGTCTGAGATACGAAGTCCTTCTGCTGATAACTTTCATTCAGACAGAACTGAACTTCTTTATGCCCATCATGCTTTCTTTTTGTGATAAGAGTAATACTGCTCATATCATTTGATGTGCCACAGCCATAAGTTTCTCAGATCTTGACACTGTGTCAATACTCCCAGAACTGTACTCACAGTTACTCCCGGCTCTCAGGACTTGACACTCATGGAACGACTGCAGCGCTGCGTCAAAGATATAGTCTCATTAACTTAGTTGCTTGCTGAAATAGATAATAATATAACTTGTTGAAAACTAGTATATTGGAACTGAGATGCTGAAACTGAAGTACAAAAACTGAAATACTGAAACTGAAATACTCAATTGACTATGCAAGAATGATCTTTGTCTGATGATAACTGAAAGATATAGCCTCACTGTCTCAGTGTCTTATTGTACTCTTTCTCGGTCCTCTATGACCGTTCTCTTACTTGGATGGTTGACTTCTCTTTCCTCTCTTTGGAGTCACTGTAGGGATCAAGTCAGGGTCTCTGAAGATGAACTTACGAAGTCTTGACCCTGATACCATGTCATGAACCCTGGATCCATCCATTTCTGATATCTCATAACTTTGCCCTCTGCTTCTCCTGTAATTCTGTAAGGACCAAGCCATCTGGGCTCCAACCTCTTAGTCCATTGCGTCTCAAGGGAACTGTCAAACAGAAGGACAACATCTCAAAACTTTTATTTCTCTTTTCTTATATATATTTTTTTGTTCCACCTTTCTTGATCCGATAGTCTGCTGGATGCCATTCTCTCTGTTGCATCCATCACTGCCTGATCTACTTCAGCTATCTGCCTCATTCTGATATGAAGGAGCTCTGAAATAGAATAATTCCTGTCACTTTCTTGACTTGTCCATGTCTTGACAATTGGTAGTGTAGCATAACGGCCATACCACAGTGTAAAAGGTGCATAACCAGTACTTCTCTTCACTGTGATATTATCAGCATATACATCAGCTCTTAATACCTTCGGCCAGTTGCTGAGTTTCCCTTCACACCACTTGGCCAATGAATCTTTCAGAGTTTTGTGGCCTCTTTCAACAGGTGCATTCGCTTCAGGATGGTAAATAGTCACATACCGAATTCTGACACCCAATCTGAGTGTAATTCTTCTGACGACCTCATTTCTGAATTCTGATCCTCTGTCTCAGACAAATTATCTGATAAAAGGATATCTGAGATAGACTTCCTCTATCCAATCAGCCACTTGTGTATCTCATCCCACCCTTGCCAGGAGGCATAGTGATGAGATCCAAATGGACTCTACTACCTGGCTCTACCAGGATTGAAGGGAATAGGGGCTCAATCATCCTTGTGGTAGACCTCTTCCGACATAAGACACATGATTTACAGTATCTGAAAATCATGTCTCTCATGCCAGGCCAGAAGTAGAGTTTGACAATCTTGGAGTAGGTAGCCTCAGCAGCCCTGTGACCACCAGCGACCCCCTCGTGTAGGGCAGCAATTAAATCTAACTTCCTCTCTTTATTACAAACCACTCTTTGTGGAGATAGGCCTCCCTTACCATCCACAAAGAGATGTCCTCTCTTTAATCTGAATTTCTTACTTTAATCCTTACAATAATATTCTTTTAGTTGCTCCTTTTCCATCTTTCTGCCAATCTGTTCATAATTTTCATCATATTCTTCAAAGAAGAAAAATATCTCTTCTTCCTTCTTTTCACCCTCTTCTTCTTCCTTTGAACCTGAACTTTCCCCAATCTCATGAGCAGCCACTGCTGCTGCGTTAACTTTAACATAGCAATCATTTTATTCATCTTTCTCTTCTTTCCCAAGAACCGATTCGTAAATGTACGCACTAGGAATCTCTCCCCAGCTGTCTCTCTCTTCTGGTCATGGATTCCACTTGTAGGAGCATGACACTTCATTATCCTCATCATCTTTTTCATTAAGAAAATTATCAACATAGGCAGATTCTTCAATTGTTCCATTCACATCTTATTCTTCTTCCTCTCGCCACTCAATCCGGCTTAGGCCATCCGCTCTATTCTTCTCGGTGGGGATCTTTTCCAGTCTAAAGTCATATGTCCAGATGAAGGCGATCCATCTGCTGACTGTTGGATCTACCTGTTGGTGCTTTTTAATGACACCTATCACAGCAGATGCATCAGTCCTCATGATGAATCTCCTTCCTAAAACGTAGTGCCTGAAGCACCTGAGGCGATGGATGATTGATAGTAGCTCTTTCCTGAATTGGGTGTAGCCTCTTTCATTAGAATTGAGAGTTCTGCTTTCAAATCTTAGAGGTCTTTCTCTCCCATTTTCATCTTTCTGAATAAGCACTCCACCCAAAGCAACTGGTCCTCCATCCGCCTCAATGATGAAAGGTCTCGTCTCCTCATCATCATAATATGACACTCTCAGCCCTACACCACCATCTCTTAGTTTTTCTTGCAATGTTTCTGCTGCAGCTTGTCTTTTATCATTCCATGCTAAGTTTGCACCTTGCCTTACCATTTCTCTCAGAGGCTCTGCAAGGGCAGCAAAATGAGGGATAAAAATTCTCCAGAATCCACGAACTTCCAAGAAACTCCTGACGTCTGTCACTTTTTTCAGAGGCAGAGGCCAGTTCAAGATATTGTCTATCTTTTTGGGATCTGGACTCCTACCCTTGGAGAAGCATATGAAGCCCAAGATTATCACTTCTGGTTGGAAGAGAAGGGACTTTGGTCCACGGGCAGTCATATTACACTTCCGAAGTCTTTCTAAGACCATCTTTACTCCTTCAGCATGTTCCCAGACAAACTTTCTGACTCCCCCTGCAACCCACGTCTCATCTCTTACCAAAGGTCCTTTTACAGGATCATCATCAATGTAGGGACTTTGATCATATCCCTTTGAACCACTGCCACTCCGTTAGTCCAACCCTGCAGTACCACACACATCTGAACAAGCCCCATTGGCGTGTGCATGACAATCATTCGCCGGCTAGTGGGATCAATAGGGAACTGATCATAGCCAGAATGCAGGTCAACTAGGGAATAAATACATCGACCAGCAAAGGATTCTGCGAGGAGATGAGCATTAGGAAGACTACCTGCATCACGTACCGTCACAGAATTGAGCTTCTGAAGATTCTGTATCCATCTTAGCCCGCCCCCTGGTTTCCAAAAACAAAACCAGTGGTTAGCATACGGTCCATCAGCAGGTTCAACAACATTAGATGCAATCTTCTTGTCAAGATACTTCACAACTTCTGCCTCTTCCTTCAAGGCATACTTGGTTGGTTTATCATTCCATGGAATATGATCAACTGTCCAAATCTTGGCCATCTTGATCATGTTCACGTCCAATCGCCTC